CCGGATCAGCCTTGGACTCTGAGATCAGTTTCTCGCTGAGTGTGGAGATGAAGTCTTCCGTACTGTAATTGCCCTCAAAGGTCGATAATTGCAGCGCTCGGTCGATAGCCGGATCACGAGGTTTGAAGCCTGGCGCAAGGGATGTAGTGTCCCTCTTCGCCGGCCTCTTAGGCGGCATGCTGGGCCCCGAGCCAGGTGTAGACATGTTTGAGGGGAGCGTGTCGGCGCGGTGTACAAGGACGACCTATCTTTGAAGCTTTTGAGAGATGTTGATAGCTAGGATCATCCATCATGTAGCTTTGCTTGTATTCTTGTAACTATGACAGGGATTGTGCATCATACTCCCTCTCGGGCGAGTGGCACCCGGTTCATTATTGATGTCACGCTCGTGACGCCAGCCAACGGAACGCCCGATTAGGCGGCGATTCCCGCTATATCAGAGTTCAACTTGTGGTATGCAGGCCATGGCCGGCGGCGCAATCGACGAGACAGCTGCAGCTGCACATATTCATAGCATATGAGCATCCTCTGTCATCATGCAACAACTGGACCCAATGAGGCCTTTCTCCCATTCGCATCCCGCGATGCCCAGCTATACGCTGAGAACTGCAAAGGCTCCTGTGGCCTCGCCAGGCTGGATGGGCCGGTTACAAATTCATACTCGGACCACTCATTCTCAACGGAATGGGATGCTGAATGGACTGAAAGCGCTAACAATGGGGTCCGCATGCATTTTGCAGCCATTTAACTATTTTGAATCGTTGAGAAGGAAAGCACACGACGAAGGCATACATATGTGTGTGTGCTATCAACCAACTGGATTGATATTCAGTGACCGGTGACCATATATTACGACACAGCCCTATCAAGCAACCATACAAACGTGTGTTAGCGTGTTAGCGGTGTGCGAAATGGTTACGAGGATAAGCGATATCTGATACCGAGGCGTTGGTTTTGTATGGAATCATGGAATCTGTGGGAGGTTGACCCAAAGGCACCCGACGGTGATATATATGGTGATGAGGTGATTGATGCATGACAATGGAGGAAGCGAACAGGACATCCCTCAACAGGGTAAAGCGAGAACAAAGGGGCAAATTGAATATGAATCGGCCGCACCACACCCAAACTCAAACGAAACCCTGAAGTATATACTGAGTCTTACACCGCCATACAGCGCACCGTGCACCCTGCACTGCACTGCACAGTAACAAGAGAAGGGGGTACGTACCACTACGGTACTACGGTGGTGGTGTTTGAGTGTACCCCTGCCCACCACCATAGCCCCCGCCCCCCCCCTCCACGTCGTACCCTCATATATTCCACGTCGATCCCCCCTCTATTAGCTTATTCTTTCTCCATCTTTCTTTTCATTCCACCTCAACTCAACCTTTTGCCACCATAGCATAGTATAGCATACCACATACCACATACCACATACCCCCTATCCACTGTTTGTTACTCTCTTTTCGTTGTACAGCTTTCGTTTCATAGTCACCATATCGTTCATCTACCTGCATAACAAAGCTCACCTTGAACATATATACCCTCTAGTTCGTTGTAGTTTCCCTTTTTTACCCCGCATACTTCTTACTCCTCCACCAACTCACTCCGCATACAATACAGTACGATATGACTACCGTCAACGCCGTAGCTTCGTCTTCTAAGAGACCAGCACCAACCACTACCCCATCTTCTGAACCAACCTCGGCCAAACGACCTCGACCGTCTAACGCATCAGAATCTGTTAACGGCGACGAAGACGAAGATGAGGGTGAGGGTGACCGCTCTGGCACCACTACGCTGGGTGAGAATGGTGAACCCCTGGATATGGACGAGGAGGCTCGTGCAAAGGTAGCAAGAAAGGAGGCCCGTGTAAGTCACTCAGCTCCACACACACACACACACGCACACACCACTTCTCGTCATCAATGCACTCCATTCGCTCCTTTGTCCTTACATCAATTCAATCGTCACTTCTCAATTGAATTCATGTCACACAAAAGACGCGCGCCAGATGAACAGATATACCCTTTGCGGGTATAAGCTTTCAATCAACACTTTGTATTGGTGCTAAATACTAATTAGAGTTTGTGTGATTCACCTTTCATGCATCCAGACCATCCGTAATCGAGAATCGGCCCAACGTTCACGTAATCAACGTAAAGCACACTTGGCATACTTGGAAGCCCGTGTAGTCGAACTCGAAGCTGAGAACAGAACACTTCGAGGTGATGCACCTGCATCAGCGTTTTCACCATCTCTCCCTGGCTCCACACTCGGCTCACCATCAGCGAGGGAAGCTTCACCCGCCCAAAGCGTCATCTCACTCGCCAACGATCTGGGCATTCCCACCGAGCTCGTCAGCGGTACTGGCGTCAAACTGTCCAGTGTCGCACCTCCCCCCGCCGACTTGCATCTCGAGGACATCAAGCCCGTTATCCCATCAACACCTGAACCCGAGAATGCGGAGCTCAAGTCTCTCGCTCACACCGTTGCCCCTTCGACGCCACTCACTGTGGCTTCAGGCCCCATCACCTCCACTGACAGGTTTCAGGCCGAGAATGCCGCCCTGCGGGAGAGGGTATCGCTCCTCGAGAACCTTGTCAAGCAAGTGGTCGCCGTCGCCAACCTGAGCGGTCTCAACGACAAGCACTCAGCCTCAGCGTCCAACACCGTGGTCGAGCATCAACCGGAAATGGTCTCTCCCACCACGACGAATCACATTGATTGGGCAGCATTCCTCTCCTTACCTCACCTCAACCCCACTGCGGTACCTTCAGCACCCGGACTCGAGGCGACACTTTCACCACCTTACTACCCCGCTACACTTGCTGACGCACCCGAAACGCACGCCGCCGCTCAATCTACCTTACCTACCGACCAGACACCTGTTTCATCTTCGACTGTCGAAGCTACATCGAACCCCGTCGCTCGCCACCCAGCAGCGGTGGCGACCAACTCTACTGTCTCTTCATCCTTGATGAGGAGGCATGGATTGGCCCTGCAGCGGGCGAGGGGGAATACCTCGATGTTATCTTTGGCGGATCGAACGGTGCCGCAGGCCAGGTCTCAGCGTTTGGTAGTGGATCAAACAAGGCTAGCATTGGTGGCGAGATTAGTGGTAGCGTTGGCCAAGCAACGAGGATGGACCACCACAACAACAACGTCAACGTCACTCAAGCTTTTGAGGGGTTGTTCGGTCAGTCGCAGCAGATGGATTGGGAGGGTATCGGGGCAGGACAAGTGCAGGCCCAGGCAGAGGATTGGGATGAGGCGATGAGATCTCTCATCGAGGATATCGAGGGTGGGAACCAGAGGCAAGAGGAAGCCGGACAAAGGTCCGACGTCTTAGGTATGGATTGGTTCGGAACTTCGGAAGTTAGGGTGTAAAGGTGGGATAGAGGGTTAGAAGGGAAACACATCGTTTATATAGAAGGAAACGGAAGAAGTACAAAAAGGTCAACACTCGAAATAGAATTCGAATTCGACCGACATCAACACATCTCAGGACTGCGCAACATAGACATCTGGACATTCAGTTCGATTCGGTTTCGACATTCGTTGAATTCGCCATTGTGTTGTTCGTCGTATCATCTATCCGTGATCATCGACACACGACAAGATCATCACGTAGTATGGAACAATCGCTTGTCTCGGCCTGTCGCATACCCCGCGCTACCTCGTCGCAAGAGCCCTTACGGCCATTTACAGGACTTCTCGCGTTTCTGGGACGAGCGGAACGAAAACGGCTTCTCTCACGCAGATCGACGTACGCGTAAACAAGTATCACAATCGACCTGAACTGTCCCTCCATCGTCTGCATTGACCGCTATCTACCAATTTGATGCGAAGAGAGAAAGAGGGTGGATGGACAGATATTTCCCATAGACTCCGCTTTTAACACCCGCTCGCCCGTCAAGGGCTTGAGCCGTGATATAAGCGTGTAGCGGGATGATGTCCTTCCAACCCTTTTTCTCCTCTTTTTCGTCGTTGGTTTGGTATCGGTTGACTAGATGTGGGATGATCATTCGGGCTTGGTTTGCTTTGAGTTTGAGTGGACGTGTGGTTTGTTTGGGGGTAGTCGTTGCACTTTTAGCTCGTTTCAGTCCATACGAGTAGGCTTATTTTATAAGTGACTCGGCGCGGCGCCAGTAGGAGGAGCAGGTGACAACGGTTCTGGATAAAGCTCATGCGGCGAGGTATATAGAGTCTGGTTGTCGAGTACTTAGTTAGCTAGATAAGCCATGCCATCTAACGGTCATCACAATATGCATGTCTATATGTGCTGTAGCAGTCTGCACACACCGAGCAGTTCGCATACACCAGTATACACACGCACATTGATCGCTCGTACCACTGAGCTGTTATGCCTGGACAATATGGGTACACACTCTCCATACACACACAGTTGTGTATGTATATATTTATGTTGCTGGCCGCTGTCAAGACAAAATAAATGGCTTCAGGCCCGATAGATCAGTGGTATGAGCGATCGCTCCTTCTTTGGGGCGAGCGGAAGCGTAGAAACAGGATGTGAGGAGGGTCGGGGCGACAATGGATGACAAACTGCGGCTTGTCAAACATGTTGTCTGCTCCGAGATGGGCGACCCAACGTAGGGCGATGGGATCGCGCGATGGGCCTAATATAGCCTTGGAGACGGACGTCGATTTGTCTTGATGTAGGACACAGTATAATCTGTCGCTCGTTCCGGTAGCGGGCTTACGGTACGTACACTGAGCTGGCGAGTCCGGTGCATGTCGGTGTCAGCAGCAGCAAGAGAGCATCGCTGCTCCTGCTGAGCCCTCTTCTAGTAAGAGTGACCTATGCCTTCCTCTCCGGACACTCAACGAGCACTTTTTGAGTCGACATGAAGATCGGGAGACGGCGTGGTGAGATGACGAACTGAAGGTAAAGCTATCGCTCTACCACTGAGATATCAGGCTGATAGAGATCCAGTGCAACGTGGATATATACGAGTCCCCAGATGGATCCCCGAGGCCTAATAGCTCAGTGGTAGAGCGATAGTTTCACTGCCTTTTACAGACAACACTACAGGTCCACGGTTCGAACCCGTGTTGGGTCAGCGCTTTTTACTGCAAGTGACAGTTAGATGCTACAGTTTTTCTTTCCCTTTTATCGTTCATTTCAAGCTAGACATTATCATTCAAACTCATCGATTCGTCTTGTCAGAATGGAAAGGTCCTTTGATCGGATCGACAGTTACCATCATGCAAGGACCCCTAGGACAAAGGTGTGTGCGTTTGTGTGTGTATGTGTGATGTAAACGATGATACTTGGATGTGTGGATGTGGAAATGTGGAAACAGGCACGTTCCATCCAGCCTGTCCAAAGGGTCCAGACCGTTAGTCGTCGCAGCATAGCTACGTACGGTCTGACATCGATTGTGTAATTGCGGATTCAGGGTTTCCCAGCCAAAAGATCGAAGGAAAGGGGACTGCGATCAGCGTCATCGTCGTCCAGAGGTTTTCTGAGAACTGCGATTCCAGGTTTTACTTGGACAAGGTGCTATCTTTGGAATTTGTAATGACCGACGCATGAGTGCTGCGATAAGCTAAGCATTGCACCTACTGCGGTCACTCGAGAGGGATGTAACGCATGCAAGCACTATCAGATGAACACATCTTCGTCAAAGATAGAGATGTATGCATCTGTTTTGTTCATACAACCTCTGTAAAAACTGCACGTACCTTCTCGCATTTCTCAAAGGAACCGACTGATCGACCCATCAGAGTTCAACCGACCTGATCTGCGAATTACCCCTGATTCCTGTGTGCGACGAAGGCAGTCTGTGCAGTCTTCTCTGCAAACCCTAGAGAAAGCAGACAGACTTGTGGCTGTTTTGGTGAGTTCTAGTAAACGTGACCCTGCTTTCACCTCAGAATGCCTTCCATTCTGTCATTCTGGTTTCTGGCATCGCCCAAGAGAGAGGGAGAGCTGCGGAGATGCGACGGTGTGGCTTCTGAGGCAGGCGCTGGTGTCGGTGTGCTTGTTGTGCACCGCGCATTTTTGAGAAATAGTTCTCGAGCGTGACTGAGGGTGCAGAGGTGCAGAGGCAAAGCTCAGCTGGACTACAAAGCCGCAACAGCGGGGTCTTACCTGCGCAGAGAGATAGATGATCACACTCTTACTGCTATGAGTCTGCGTGACAATCAGTAGCTCTCGGCGGTGCTCAAATCCTATCTGGAGTGACTGTGCTGACCACGATCTGCATTATCGTGTTTGATATCATTAGCGTGGCAGCATCAATCGATCCGAACCTGTATAAGGCATACTGTGCACTTTGCTCAGCCACAGCGATTTCGCAGATCTGTCAAGCAGTCAGAGAAGGAGGTTTATAAGCTTTAAAAAATCCACTGCCACCGATAATTCTTCTCAAGTGGAATACGTCCCCCAGAACGGCTTATACAGCAACGGCATAACAACACCGACATTCGCCCATTATCATGCCATCTTCAACACCCAAACCCAAATTGCATATTCCCATCTCCGAAAAGACTTCTTCATTCTTCAGCTCGCCATACGACCCCTCCGCCTACTCTTCTCAGCTCTCACCACTGCCATCAACATCTACTTCCTCAAAGGAAGATGGCGAAGTAGATTCGCAAACGCCATTACTACCGCCTAGCCCCGCCATGCTGGAGAAGGGTCGAGGAGGGAGTTATCCGTTCCCGTCTAGCCACACTTCAAGGTTGAAACGATTGAGGATGGCTTGGAGGAACGGACTACCGAGCGGTATGGTGAAGAGAGTGGCGGTTCTGACGTTGGTATTGGGATTGGCAGTCTTGACTCTTCATCAGGGCAGTACAAGAGTGAGTGACTTCCAGTCTGCGAGTTCTGATACCTGGCTGACAGCGCGCATTGTAGCTTGTCTCGCCTCGAGTATCTACTTCTGGAGAGGATTCCGCTTCTTCGGCCGCTGCCGCGAGATTACCAAAGGTGTCCGGGAGACCATTCAAGTTTCCATCCCTTCTACCGTCGAGTAAAGGCAGCGGCCTACGGCGTCCAGCGGGCCCCGGATCCAGCTCGACAGGGAAGAGGGAGATCGATATCTCATCTGACGCGCTACCCGTTGATGCGACTCTGCGAGAGAGGTTGGATGTGTGGAAGAATGCACCTGGAGGTCGGGGTGAAATCAAAGGGGAGATTGAACATGGTGGTTTCGTGCAATGGAGTTTAGAGGTATGTTATGACTAAATATTCTCATGTTCTCGTCTTCCCCTTACAAGAGCGAAGCGACACTGTATTTCGGGACTGACAACGATATGATACTTTTCCGCAGCAATGTGACACCATCTCAGAACAGCACAACACACACATGATCCAACACTCAGCAAACGTATGGGCCAGTGTGAACCGAACGACATTACATCAACACAGGATGGAATTGATCGATCACATGGAACATGTCCTTGCGGATGGGTTGACGGAGCATTACGGCGAAGGGAGGGGTATCGTCATGGTAGCTGGAAACGCGGATACCCTTACTAGGGTGAAATGGAGTCTGCAGATGTTGAGGAGTTACGGATCAACATTACCTGTACAAATCGTGAGTTATGTCTTCGGCGCATCGAAAACATTTGAAGAGGCCTAGCTAATGACGATTTTATGCAGTATCATTTCCCTAGCGAAAGACCTGCAGATGACTCTCCTCTTCGAGCCGAGTTACAGGATCTCGGTGCAGAACTTGTAGAAGCTGCGGGTCAGGAGAAGGATAAAGGCAAGACGAAGAGCTATCACCTCAAGGCTATCGCCGTCGTCCAATCTCCTTTCAGAGAAGTTTTATATCTCGTGAGTGATCGCGCAGAATAATATGCGTATACAGTATCAGGAGTCTGACTTTGGCCGCCAACGACCCTCAGGATTCCGACTCTATACCCACGAGAGACCCGGAATACATGTTCGAAGCACCCAATTACAAGAGACTAGGTATCTTCGCTACACCGGATTACTGGAAGACATCCGCCAACAATCCAATTTGGGCGATCATGGGCGTCAAGTGCAGGAATGAGTGGGAAATGGAAACGGGCCAAATGTTCATCGACAAGAAGATGCACCTGGACGTGTTCTTGCTCATTCAATATATGCTGGAACGACATGAGTTTGTGAGTGATAACTTCTCATTCCAGAATCGCTCGCTTCATCTTTTCATTTCATGGCAGATGCTGAACAGTCCCTTTGTACCTTGTTTCCATTCGCAGTGGTTCTACTTTTCCGACGGCGACAAGGACATCTTCCGATGGGCATTACTTGCGCTTCGAAAACGATGGGCTGTACCCGGTCGATGGGTAGGCGCAGCGGCTCTTCCATCTGGAACCGCGTCAGGAGATTTCTGCGCACACACGATGCTTCAGCACGACTCATGGGGAGAACCCTTATTTGTCCACTACAACCTCTTGAAGCAAATCCCGTCCGGTGTAGGCCGAGGTTTCTCCTGGGGTCGAACGAAGCAGATGCCGTTATTCAACACTTGGCCCGCTACTCCCGCTACAGCGCGACTGGGCGAACCGGAATATAAGCCCTCGGATGACGATAAGCCCGGATTGGGAGATACGGATTGCGATATGCTTGCGGACGCCGATGAGAATGGTCGAGCTAGATCAGAGGCAAAGGAGATGATCATGCGTCGGGCTGCTAGAGAAAGGGGTATCAAGGTCAGGTATCATGGCGGTTGGATCTCAGCACTGTGGTGAGTACAGTCGAATCATGACGTCTCTGTATTGACCAGCTTGACTAATGTAAGTCTTTCCATCTTTTAGCATCGATCTCGACTACATAGATCCTAGACCTGAAGAAAGGAAAGAAGAAGATGCCGCCCGAAAGGCCTTGCTGGAAGAACAAACTGCTCTGGCCGTTTCAGCCCTGAGCTCAGGCGCAGGATCCTCGTCAACTGAAGAGTCGCAACTCAAAGAAGGGGCGAAAGAAGAAGAAGAAGAGGGATTGAAAGACTCGAATGGCGATCATGTTGGAACCATATATCCTGATTGGGGATCAAGCCCTATCGAGGTTGTTCAATGGAGAGATGATGAGAATCTGAGGGATTTCGAGAAGAATATCTATGATCTTGGCTTCAAACCTGGCGGACCAGGGTTTTAAGCGTCAATCAACTTACCATCCTTTATCATGCCAGCGACAACAACTTTGTTACAGGTACAGTTCATACACATACACGATTTGACGAGATAAACGGAGTCGGGCTGGATCCGGCTCTCTGATGATTCGGATTCGGCTAAGCGCTGCGGAACGCATACTCATAGATCAATGCTTGCTTGTACTGTTATGTATTTTCGACTATAAATGTAGATCCTATCAGCTGAAACGGTTTGTAATCAAGGGTGAAGACTGCAACACGGACACTGGATGATTCAGCCTTTCAAGTTTAAGGCTGTCTGCATATGAACACACTTCGACTCTACTCTAGGCTCTGCCGCCACTTGTCCCCCTCGCCCCTGATCACTCCGTCTACACTTCAGCACAACGATCTATTCCACAGGTGAAGGATTGAACATAGAGTGCGAATGATTCAAAAAGGTACGGTCAACATCCGAGCGGAGTACAGAGCAGTGTATTTGTAGTCCCGGATTTTGCTCGGTATTGAGGTCTGAAACATCTCAGACCCAGTTGCCCGACTTCTTCTGGGTTCCTCCGGCAGAACCACCTGTAGTGCTATTCTGGGCGTCGCTGCGACGAATGAACCAGTATGAGCTCACCATGCCTCGCCCAGTGACAGGAAGAAGGCGAACATAGAACGGTTGCACTCTCTGAATAGAAAGATCACGCCTTAGAAGAGGTTGGATGGGCGATTGTCAATGGAGAGGTCGATCACTCACGTGTCCTGCAGAAAGAGTATACACACATGTTGCAAGAGAACTCTTGCGAGTCAGTTTCTCTCATATGCGATAGATTGTATGGCCAGTAGCGGATGTGACAGGCTGGCAGTACAATCGGCCATGTGCACGCAGGAAAAGCAAGGAAAGGTGTACGGGACGAGCAACTGACCATTGTGACACCGACAACTGCGGAAGAACGACCGGTGCCGGTCTCGCCACGGTCCGAGCCAAGACC